AGAGAGTAGAGGAGGGAGGAGAGTGGAGAGAGGAGAGAGGAGAGAGGGGGGAGGAGAGGGGGGAGAGGGGGGAGGAGAGAGGAGAGAGGAGAGGGGAGGGAGGGAGAGAGGGGGGAGGAGAGGGAGGAGAGAGGAGGGAGGAGAGGGGAGGGAGGAGAGAGGAGAGATGGAGAGAGGAGAGAGGATAGAGGAGAGAGAGTAGAGGAGAGAGGAGAGAGGAGAGAGGGGGGAGGAGAGGGGGGAGAGGGGGGAGGAGAGAGGAGAGAGGAGAGGGGAGGGAGGAGAGAGGGGGAGGAGAGAGGAGAGAGGGGGGGAGGACAGTACCATAGACATATCTGTGTTATTCCCTGGGTCAGCTCTATTCACCACAATGGGCCAATGTTGCAAATCTGCAACATCCCAGAATGCATTGCATGTGAAGGTCTCTCTCTCTCAGAAATAATCAGGATCATACTTCTCCATTTGATAAGAAAAATGCTTTCACAATCCTGACTTTCAATAATAGGTTGCTCCATTAATAAATAGATGAGATTGAATCATAACAACATGGCGATAGTCGAGGAGTTGGCTGGATGACACTGTGATTAGGTGTTTGTTTGTGTTAGCGAGGCAGAGGGCTACATCACATGACACAGAGGGCCTTCGCTTGATACATTTCTTTCTTACACAAAAGTATTCTTCACTTAATACTTCGGAACAAACACTTCTTTCTGAACGAATCTTTTCTTCACATTTACTTTAAAGCAGTTTTCTGAGTTTGTTTTTAGGTCAAGGCTTCTCCACAATGATCCATTCATCAGACCAGCCTTGACTATCTCACACCGGACGCACAATAGGGCTGCATCACACACACACACACAGAGACACACGCACACACACTCACACAGACACACACACTCACAGAGACACACACACACACACACACTCACAGAGACACACAAACACACACACACACACAGACGCACACACATACACACACACACACAGAGACACACACACAGATCGGTTCAACACTGTAGCAGCCTGTAGCAGCCTTGTTTACAGTCACGGGGAATGAGGCTGGAGCCAAATGTTCACAGCAGTCTCCCCCACTTTAGTCCTGGTTTAATCCTGGTTTAGTCCTGGTTTAATCCTGGTTTAGTCCTGGTTTAGTCCTGGTTTAGTCCTGGTTTAATCCTGGTTTAGTCCTGGTTTAATCCTGGTTTAGTCCTGGTTTAGTCCTGGTTTAGTCCTGGTTTAATCCTGGTTTAATCCTGGTCTAATCCTGGTTTAATCCTGGTTTAATCCTGGTTTAGTCCTGGTTTACTCCTGGTTTAGTCCTGGTTTAGTCCTGATCTAATCCTGGTTTAATCCTGGTTTAATCCTGGTTTAGTCCTGGTTTAGTCCTGGTTTAGTCCTGGTTTAGTCCTGGTCTGATCCTGGTTTAATCCTGGTTTAATCCTGGTTTAGTCCTGGTTTAGTCCTGGTTTAATCCTGGTTTAATCTTGGTTTAGTCCTGGTTTAGTCCTGGTTTAGTCCTGGTTTAGTCCTGGTTTAGTCCTGGTTTAGTCCTGGTTTAGTCCTGGTTTAGTCCTGGTTTAGTCCTGGTTTAATCCTGGTTTAATCCTGGTTTATCTCCTGTTTTGGCTGTTTTCGAGTGTCTTGTATCCCCGTGACGGCTCTGGAAAAAGTGAATCTCTTGCTTTTGCCGAATGCATGGAGTCTGTGTACCCACTGCCTCTAACGCCGCACATGCTGTTCCTCGCACGGACGTGTTTGACCTTTGACACGACCTGTAGATCCATGGTTATTATTATAGATCCATGGACGCTACACATGGTGCGGTTGTTTTTTTCATTTCCCAGAAAGTTTTGCGGTTTGTAGTCGGCTGTGATAGGTCGAGAAGCCTTTGCCTACATCCCCCAGAATGCCGTGCGCTTGTGACTCGGCTTTACTTCCTGTGTTTTGTTCCTGTTGAAGTGAAACTATTGAAGTTCTATCGACCCCGTTTTCTATTGATATCGAACACGTGTCTATCGCAATATATATCGTTATGGTTTTATCGCAACACGGCAAATGACTCTGTGTTGAATATTACGTGTATGTGTGTGTGTGTCTTTTTGTGTGTGTCTGTGTATCTGTCCTTGTGTGTGTGTGTTTTTTTGTGCCTGTGTCGGTGTGTGTGTGTGTCTGTCCGTGTGTGTCTTTCTGTGTCTGTCCTTGTGTGTGTGTCTGTATGCTTGTGTGTGTCTGTCCGTCTATGTCTGTGTGTGTCTGTCCGTCTGTGTCTGTGTGTGTGTGTATGTGTCTTTGTGTTTGTCTGCCTGTGTGTGTGTGTGTGTGTCTGTGTGTGTGTCTGTTTCGGTGTGTGTGTGTGTGTCTGTCTGTGTGTCTGTCCGTGTGTGTGTCTCTGTGTCTGTCCGTCTGTGTGTGTGTGTGTCTTTGTGTCTGTCTGCCTGTGTGTGTGTGTGTGTGTGTGTGTGTCTTTGTGTCTGTCTGCCTGTCTGTGTGTGTGTGTGTGTGTGTGTGTGTCTTTCTGTGTGTCTGTCCGTATGTGTGTGTCTCTGTGTCTGTGTGTGTGTCTGTCCGTCTGTGTGTGTGTGTGTGTCTGTATGCTTGTGTGTGTCTGTCCGTCTATGTCTGTGTGTGTCTGTCCGTCTGTGTCTGTGTGTGTGTGTATGTGTCTTTGTGTTTGTCTGCCTGTGTGTGTGTGTGTGTGTCTGTGTGTGTGTCTGTTTCGGTGTGTGTGTGTGTGTCTGTCTGTGTGTCTGTCCGTGTGTGTGTCTCTGTGTCTGTCCGTCTGTGTGTGTGTGTGTCTTTGTGTCTGTCTGCCTGTGTGTGTGTGTGTGTGTGTGTCTTTGTGTCTGTCTGCCTGTCTGTGTGTGTGTGTGTGTGTGTGTGTGTGTGTGTGTCTTTCTGTGTGTCTGTCCGTATGTGTGTGTCTCTGTGTCTGTGTGTGTGTCTGTCCGTCTGTGTGTGTGTGTGTGTCTGTATGCTTGTGTGTGTCTGTCCATCTATGTCTGTGTGTGTCTGTCCGTCTATGTCTGTGTGTGTGTGTGTATGTGTCTTTGTGTTTGTCTGCCTGTGTGTGTGTGTGTGTCTGTCCGTGTATGTGTGTCTGTGTGTGTGTCTGTTTCGGTGTGTGTGTGTCTGTCTTTGTGTCTGTCCGTGTGTGTGTCTCTGTGTCTGTCCGTCTGTGTGTGTGTATGTCTTTGTGTCTGTCTGCCTGTCTGTGTGTGTGTGTGTGAATTGCATTCTGGGAGAAGCCTTTATCTCCTGCTTCCTTCACACTGTTCCTGGAAACACAACATGTCATTTGTCGAAGTAAAAACGCAGTATTGTGTTGACACAGCGCCGCAGTGAAGCACGTACGGTACATTCGTTACAGCAGTGACTTATACACCCCACACCTCTGCGCTGCTTCTCTGGCCTCGGTGCCCGGGGTTGTAGGGGCCCTCATCAGTCTCTCTCCCCGGGGGACTCGGCTCCCTGTGGTGCTCTGTCTCTCCTCTTCTTCCTCTCTTCACACTTTGCTCATTCCCTTATATAATGTCCGTATATTTACAGTCTCTGGGTTTTGCTAACGAGCCCACCCCTGCCTCAGCACAGTCCTCTCTCCTCTCCCTTTGATCCAGACACTCAAAAACTCAATCTTTGTTTACTTTGAAGGACTTTGTGACTCTCTCCAAACGCTCAGCTGCCATCAATCATAGCAGCGCCCCCTCTGGTGAGCCGGGGAACTGTCGGGGTCAGGTTGCATGAAATGAGCGACTTGTCAATATGAGGCCGCGGGGCTGAGGGATGGATCTGTGAATGGGATCTGACGGAGGAGAGTTGATCTATACCTGACTGGGACGGCGCAGACCGACCGCCGTTCTTCACCTTTGTAGCTATTTGTAACCACGTAAATCAAACGTGTTCTGCCAACTGCGATTCAGAGAGAAACATGTGTTGTTCACATTGGTATGTTACAGCAGTAGAGCTAGCTTGGATGCTAATGGGTATATCTGTATTTATGGTTATTAAGATTAAGTAAGTAATCTTTATTGATATATTGCTTCACTGATCAGAGTCAAAGCGGTTTACAATTGCGGGCATCAGTCTGTCACTCCACACAGAGATGGGAGCGGGGCCAGTACAGGAGGCACAGACCTATTGTGCCCCGGAGATAACCTACGCAGACACGGGGAGAACATGCAAACTCCACCTAGAAAGGCCCTGTTCCGACCGGGATTCAAACCCAGGACCTTCTTGCTGAGAAGCGAGAGTGCTATCCACATAAGTTCATCAGACTTGTCCAGGGGCCGACAACACGGTCAATAAACCGGTTCTGACTGGATCCGGGCTGTTCCCAGGTTTAAACACACACACACACACACACACACACACACACACACACACACATGCGCCACCAGATTAAAGGGGAGGGCGCAGAGCATTTCCTGGTTAACCCCAGAAGAGTGAGGTCTCTCTGGCTCCTTACAAATGTTTACCTGACAACAATTAGTTCAGATAAAGTGGGTTCACTGCACTAATCAGGTGTTGGTGTTTAATGTGCATCTCTAAAGCTGGGATACGTAATTTTCAAGCCAATTTTTAATGATATGAATGTGATTAGACTCTTTCTGTTGGGAAAATATAACCGTTAGAGATTAGATTAGAGAAAAAAATCATCCGTGTACCTCTCCTTTAAATGCCTGCTTCAGAGAACTGGCTAACTAACTTCCAGGTTAAAGTTATCTTAGAGCTAAAACATATTTTAAAAAGCATCCCTTGTGTCAATCAACCAAATATGTAAATATTTAAATGAATGAAAAAGATCAGACGAGACGTTTATTGTTAACAGTTAAAAACAAAACAATACATTTAACATTAAAACAATCTTCTGCAAAAACCCGTCTGTGGCCTCTCCTTCTGCTGTGGCTGAACTCAATCTGAGGCCGGGTCAAACGCAGTCCCCTTCACCTCTGAGCGCTTCACCTCTCAGTCCTTTGTGTGTGTGTGTGTGTGTGTGTGCTCAGACGGAGACGAGAATAAGGACTTCTACATCCAGAGGAACAGCGGGACTCTGTCTGTGGCCCGGAGACTGGACGCCGCCCGCAAATCCAACTACAACCTGACAGTGAGAGTGACCGACGGACACGGCGCTGCGACTGTCCAGGTACACTGCAAAAAATGATACGTTCTGAGGTGATAAAAGCTAGAATCTTGTGGTTTTTTTTATCATAATGAACTCTAAGGAGACTGAACTTGAACTCAGGACTATTTTTGTTTTCCTTGGATATTTGTTTTTTTACATACATGTTTTTTTGTTTCTATATTATTGATATTTGATATAACTTGTTATTAATATATACCTCTTAAAAGAAAAGAATACCTGCCTTAAAAATACACACGTTCTTGAATATCTATATCATAATGACATTTGACATATTTCAATGGGAGAAAGACATTGAGTCTGATGCCACAGAGAGGATGAGAGAGGAGAGAAGAGAGAGGAGATAGGAGGGAGAGAGGAGAGAGCGAGGAGGATATAGAGAGGAGGCCAGAGAGGGAGAGGAGATAGAGAGAGGCAGAGGAGCGAGAGAGAGATCGAGAGAGGGAGAGAGAGAGAGAGAGAGAGATAGAGAGAGGTGAGAAAGACGATAGAGAGGAGGCGGGAGAGAGAGAGAGGGAGAGCAAGAGGATGAGAGAGAGAGAGTGAGAGGAGATAGAGGAGAGAGAGGAGAGACGATAGAGAGGGCAGATGAGAGAGAGAGAGTGAGAGAGAGAGTGAGGAGGATGAGAGAGAGAGGAGTGAGAGTAGAGAGAGGCAGATGGAGAGAGAGAGAGAGAGAGAGAGATAGAGAGAGGCAGAGAGAAGAGAGAGAGAGATGATGAGTGGAGGGGAGAAAGGTAGAAGAGAGAAGGGTGATTGTTTTGTTTCAAAAATATGTTAATGTGATTTGAAGTATCGTGATGATGTGATTGGTGTCGATATGTAGATAGATAGATATATCGAGGGAGGGGTAAATAAGGAAGTTAGGTAGAAGATAAAAAGGTATTAAGTTTTTAGGATAATTTGTATCATATTGGGCTTATGAGTAGGAGTTGCAGTTCGATTGTAAATATATATTTGATATTGGTGGAGTAACAGAGTGGGGTGGTGTATTGTCGTGGTGTGTGTTTGTCATGTGGTAGATGGAATGAGGTGGCTGTAGGTGTTTTAGGACATAAGGGTTACTGAATGGAGACACGAAGAGTTGGAAGCGGGAGGGGAGACGCAGCGTGCACTGAGAAGACGCAGAAAAAGAAATATGATATGTTTATTAATATTAGTTAGGGAAGGTGACAATACTTGTGGTGAAATGAATCAAATAGACTTCGCGAGAGTTTGTGCTGTGGGAACGGAATGAGAGGGGAGGGAGGTAGTGGTGGTTGTAAAAGTTCACGAGTTGTTACAGAACCGGATTGTAAAGGTTGTATAAGGGATTTCGAAAAGGTAGGAAATGTGGTGGATAATTTCTTTGACTTCGGAGGGGAGTGAGTCAAAGGTGCAGAGTTTGTTGGAATCAGTTGTTAAGTTTGTGAGATTTATATATTTTAAGCAATTTTGTTAAAGTAATATATTATCATGTGCAGAGAGTATTTTCTTGTTTGTTATTGAAGGAGTAAATGGATGTGGAAGGTGATTGGAGGTTATGTGTAGTATAATTACATTGAATTTGATGTTATTTGTTGTGTCGTTTGTCTCTAATCGAATAAAATGTTCTGTTGATTAGACGATAGGATTAGTCATTTTTCAGTTTGTAAATCAATGTTATTTTACAGATCTTTTATGTGTTATGAAGTGATTTAAAACAGAGATTGTTAAAACCGCAGATTGTATATGTTTTATGTTTGTTCAAAGGATTAAGAATTGTTGATGGAGGCGAATAGACTGGGGTCTACAAGGAATTAGGCGGGAAAGTGAAACAGCGATGCATCGAGTAGGGGAGATGAGGAACTACTCTCGAAAGAGGAACGTATGTGGGGTGGTTGGTTAAATATGAGATTTGAACACATAAAATAGAGTAGAAATTTGGGGAGAATATGTAGATGGCAGAGGAGGAAAGTAATTAATGTAATTTCTGACTGCGATCAAAGTCATCGAAAGCGGGCTGAGTGTGAGTTTATCGGGAATGGACTGGATAAGATTAGGTTTAGTTATATGAAATAGATTTAAATAACAAATATTAGTGCTTTTTTCGAAAATGAGATTTTGGTTTTTTGACCATTAAAAAGGGAAATTATGGTCAGTGCTGAAGCAGAATATATTCATAGTATGTTTTACATGTGGTAAATTGGAATGATATTTCCTATGTACGTTGGTTTACAGTGGTAAAATGGGTCTTGTTCATTTTAATGTAGTATGGTCTTAATGTGTAAATATGGTATGATCATTTTATGTACGTTGGTTTATGGTGTAAACTTGTCATGGTCCATTTCTATTGTAGTTGGTTTTTAATGTGTAAATTTTGGTTTTCAATTTTACATGTGTTGTTAATGTAGTAAATTGGTATGTATTTTCATGTCTTGGTTTAATGTGGTAATTGGTCGTACACAATTTATGTCGTTGGTTTAGGTTAAATGGGATGATATTTTCTAATGTAGTTGGTTTTAAAGTGTTAATTGGTTGGTATTTAATGTGTTTGGTTTTAATGTGTTTAAATTGGTATATTATTTTATGTAAGTTGGTCTTAATGTTGTAAATTTGGTTAGGAATTTATGTCTTTATTTTTTATGTGTAAATTGGTATGACATTTTAATGTAGTCTGGTTTACATGTGTAACTTGGATGATATATTTGTAGTTGGTTTTACATGTGTAACTTGGATGTTTTTTAATGTTAGTTTGTTTATGTTGTGAAATGGTCATAATCATTTTAAGTAGTTGGTTTACATGTGTAATCTTGTATGATATTTTATGTAGTATGTTCTTGTAAACTTGTTGATCTTTTTATGTAGTTGGTTTAATGTGTAATTGGTCATATAATTTATTGTACGTTTGTTTACATGTGTAAACTTGGTCATGATCATTTCTACTTGTGTTGGTTTTTGTGTAAATTGGTCTGATATTTATTTTAATGTAGTTGGGTCTGATTAGGGCTGAGTTTCTGGTTGATCTTTGGGAAATTAGAGAGGGTGGAGGCGAGGTGTGTAGGTCGGGTGTCGGGTGAGTCAAGGTTTGTGTGAATTTGTGTTGTGTGTGTGGAGAATGGGATGTAAAATATCTGTTTGGTTAAAAAATATTGAGCAATGATGGAGAAGGATGTTAGTAAATGTAGAGTGAAAGTGTTTGTGGGCTTCCTGGTGGTTTGTCAAGGAGATGGAAAGTAGGGTATATGTAAGTGGTTCTAATTTAAGATCTGGGTATTTATAGTTCAGTAAATAGATAATCGTTTAAGTTGAAAAGGAGTTAGAATGTTACGGAGGAAATGGGAAACAGATCAATTGAATGAAATGAGTATAGGGTTTTGTAAGACATAGGATAAGTGGTGTGAAAGACAGATGACTGAGTTGAGTTTTGAGTGGTCGTGGGGCGGGTAGTTTGGAAAGGGTTTGTAAACAGGAAGAGAATTGGACAGGTCGGGTCACACGGTATGGATTTTGTTATGAATGACAAGGGGAAGAAGAGGAGTATTAACATCAAGGATTTATTCTATAGCTTTCACTCAGCAAGGAATTTATTATAAAGATTAAGCCGCAATTGTTCTAAATAGAATACCATCAGGACAATTTTATAGATTAAAAGAAGGAATTTATTATATAGCACCTTAAAGCAAGGATTATTAATATATTTACGAAGGAAAAAATTTACTATATTAAGCCTGCAATATAATATATGACTTTAAAGAAGCACATATTCTTATAAATTACAAGAAGGATTATACAAAATATAACAAGCAATGCAATAAATCAACAATAACGCAGGAAAATTATATAGATTTAAAGCAAGGAATTTATTATATGATTTACAAGAAAGGATATTTATATGATTACAAAGAAGGACTTTACATATATAGCTATTAAAGCACTGCACATTTTCTTATATACAATTAAATTCAATTACAAAAATCACTCTAACCATCCTTCAAATAAACAAACTATTATCAAGGAAAAAAAACACTCAAAACATCCTCAAACAACACATAACCTCTTCAAAAAAACACTCAAACCATCTTCAAAAATAAACTCCAATTTCTACACTTCAATTTCCCCAAAAATAAAAATTAAAACATTAAAATCAAACAAAAAAAATTAAAAATACATTAATTTAAAAAAATTACACACTATTAAAAAATTAACAAATTAAAATTAAAAATTAAAAAAGTAACACAATTAAAAAATTAAAAATTAAAAAATTAAAAATTTCAAATTAAAAAATTTAAATACAATTAAAAAATTACAAAAATTAAAAAATTTAAAATTAAAAAAATTAAACAATTAAAAAATTAAAAAATTATAAAAATTAAAAAATTACAAAATTAACAAATAACAATTAAACAATTAAAAAATTAATATTAATTTTAAAAATTAAACAATTAAAATTAACATATTATAAATTACATTAAATTAACAATTAAATTAACAATTAAAAATTAAACATTAAAATTTAAAAATTAAAAATTAAAAATTAAATCTTTCTAAAACCCAATTAAATTCTTTCCTAAATCATAATAATTTAACTATATTATCTTACCTCATACTACTACTATTAATACAAATACAATTATCCTTTATTAACAATATATCAAAATATATCCCATTATTACATATATAGACTATATCCACATATTTCATATATGAACCATATATCCAAATATATCAATATAACAACAATATATCCACCATTTATCCACTATATCACATATTCCACCTATATACATATATCACCCATATATTAATATACACTATATCACCATATATACACATATCTCAACCATATTATACCCATATATCACCATTATTCACCATATTCAATATTTCCAAAAAATCCAACTCAAATAAAAAATACAAAAAATCCAAATTCCTTAAATTCCTATTCAAATTACAAATATCTATCCCATTTTACAAAATATCATCAAAACTTACTCCAACTTATACCTAACTTTAATTTTAAATAGTTTCATACATTTATTTTATCCTTTATTTCTCTTTAG